CAGCCCCGCCGCATAACGCATGCGCCAAGCCTCCTGAGGCCGCGTAGGCGCACAGTGTGACGCTAGGCGTAAGCGACGGTGGCGCCTACGTTGCGGGGTCGCCGGCGCGGTGCGGCCGCTTCCGCCTTCTTTTCCCCCCCCCTTTTCCTCCGACGAGTGCTCTGCTGCGCGGTCGGAGATGCTGCTGTGGTCTCGGTCTTGCTTGCTGGCATAGTGGGTGGCTGCTGGGGGAGTCCCGCGCGCCGCCGCCGGGCGACTCCTCTCGGGGGCTGCGGGCTGTGGCCGCAGTGCTGTTCGCCACCCGGAGTGCGGCGGGGGGTGGCGCAGGCAAAGGGTAAAAGTTCTCCAGTGTAGCGCGTCCTGCGCCTTCATCTGATAACCTTTACAGTGCGCTAGCGTCAGCGGGGCATGTCGGACATTGCTCTCGGCACCTGGTATCATTCGCATGCACTGTAAGAAAAAAATCCTACTTTTTTTTAAACCTAGCAACCGTTAACTGCTAATGCCTGCAATGCAGATCTTTCCTTGCTAGTAGCATGCTTTGGCCTACACTGATTCCCATAACATCCTTGTTGACAAACTTAAGTACAGACTAGTTAAGTGCATGGTTAGACAGACTGAAAATTTGCTGAACTGCTGGCACCAAAGGTTTGAAATCAGTGACATGAAGTCCAGCTGGAGGTCAGTCACCACAGTACTAGTACTGTACCCAAGTACACACACTAGTGGTGTACCCAAGGGGTCAATACAGGTGCGGATGGGGGGCTGGAGTCCAGCCACAGCGTGTGGGGGGCTGGAGCCCAGCCACAGCAAGTTCGCAGATGATAACAGGGATGGGTAGTTGATCGAGCAGATGGTTGTGCTGCTGCTATTTAGAGGGACCCTGTCAAGCTGGAGAAATGGGTCAACAGGAACCTTGTGCACTTCATCACTGGAAGATGGCAAGTCCTGCACCTGGGCAGGAATAATGACATGCAGCAGTACAGGTTGGCAGCTATTAGGCTAGAAGACAGCTTGGCAGTAAAGGACCTGGAGGTCCTGGTGGACCATGAGCCAGCTAATGTGCTCTTGCAAAGATGATGAACATCGTCCTGGACTGCATTAGAAAGACCCTTGCCAGCTGTTTGAGGGACACAATCTTTCCCTTTTACTCACTAATGAGAGACCACAGCTAGAGTAGATACTCTAGGTACAGTTTTGGGGTCCCCAGTGTAAGACAGACACAGACATACAGGATTGTGTCCAGCAAAGGGCCGTAAAGATGATTAAGGCTCGATAAGCATCAATGATCAGATGATAAGCATCTGTGATACAGAGGCTGAGAGCTGGGATTGTTTAGCCTGGAGAAGGCTCAGGGGATCTTACTAATGTGTTTAAAATATCAGGCGGAGCAGGAGGGAAGACAGAGACAGACTATTCTGAAATTGAAGTTGGTGATGGAATTGAAATTCTATTTAAGAAGAAACTTTTTTTACTGTGAGTGTGGTCAAACACTGGAACAGGCTGCACAGAGAGGCTGTGGAGTCTCTGTCCTTGGAGATACTCAAAAGCCACTGAAAGTGGCCCTGCTCTGGTTGACCCTCCCTTGAGATCTCCTCCAATCTCAACTAAGGTCTGCTTCTGTATCAAATCTCCCTGTGTGAATGTTAAAACTTAAAGCGTGACTTCTGGTGTCATTGTTGATGAGGTAATTGAAATCCAGAAGTGTTCAACTTGGAAAGTGAATGTAGCTGTAGTCTATTAGAAACAGAACTCTTTACCTCTTGCTTCCCAAGTGAAACAGTAAAGCAAGAAAAGAATGAGAAGTAAAAATTTATATGAATATATTCAGTGAATATACTTTATTGATAGTTATGACCAAGGGTCAAACATGTCAACTGCTTATATTGTTTAAAGGATTTGTTTGCTTGCATATTTATTTTCTGTCCTTGCTTATTGCAGGGGCGTTGGACTAGATAACCTTTAAAGGTCCCTTCCAATCCAAACTATTCTATGATTCTATGATTTTCTCTCCCTTGGAGATTAGCAGAAGGTAAAAGAAAGTCTTTGCCATGTAGAAGATTTGGGAAAATGAATGTTGCTGAAAGTAAGAGCTGGCCTACATTGGTTCATACTAGTACATGTAGTTTGCAGTGAAAAGTAACGTAGAGATTGCCTCACTATGTTTTAAGAATATAATTTGCCCATGGAAAATTACTAATTAATGAAACATCAAAGTCTGATCTCAAAGGGAAAATGTCACTGTTTATTTTGGGACATGAAGGGACTGCAGTTTCAAATGTCTTAATACAGATGTCATGAAAGTTAAAGCTGAGGTTACTTTTAAGATCTGTTGTCTGTGTTGCATGCTGAGCATGAGCTACGTAAATAATCCTTTCATCCACCCACAGAATGTTTACTTCTGTATATTGTATTACGTAACTAATAGTGGCAACAGCTGACAGTCCAGCTATGTCTACTGATAAATTGGCCTGACTGATGAGTGGAGAAGTTTTTTAAGTTAATGGACACATCTGAACGAGCTGTGAGAGCTGTAGGTTTTGCCATTTGCATTGTGCGCCACATGCTGGTGTAACCAGTGGCGCATGTGTACCATGTCCTGAGTGTATTCATTCTCCCGAAGAAGCTGCTGCTGCTGCTCTCTCAGTTGCACTTTGGTTTCTTTAAGGATTTTTGAGTATTGGATGAGTCTGAGCAATTCCTGGCGCAGATGCCAATTCTCTGCTTTTACTTGTTTGATATGCTGAATTAGAGATTGTATCGCTGCTTCTTCTGCTCTCTTGGTGAGAACCCAGATCTTCTGATGAAAGTCCATTTCACAGTCAGCCTTGGCCTGCAGAAATCTGCTCTTGATTTTGTGCATTTCATCTGAATGCTGTATCTTTGTGACCAACAATTCCTTCTCCAGCTCTTTAATCTTTTTCATCTGTTCCAGCTGAACAGATGCATTTTTGAAAGGCTGCAGGTCTTCAACTTCCTTGTTCATAAGAGAGTACTTTGTCTCCATATTCATCAGAGAGCTCCTTACCTCTTTCTCTTTTTCTGTATACTGTGAGATTAGCTTCTCTTTCTGCATCCTGACTTGGGACAGATCAGCGTTATTCTGGTCATTTAATGTTATTATCAGATTCTGGCACTTCTGGCTGTGTTTTGTTATGTAAGAGAGGTAAGCTTTGCTCTCTTCCTGATTCTGTTTGGCTTCCTTTTCTAGGAATTTATTTTCCTGCAGGAAATGCTCCACTGTTCCCATGTATGTGTTCATATGTTCAGTGAGAATCTTGTATTCCTTCTGCAAGTACAATTTCCTCTCTTTGACAAGTATTTCCATGTCACTTATTCCTTTGGATATATCTCCATTCTTCGTTCTTACTCCTTGCTTATTTTTCCCAGCACGCATGGTGTCTTGTTTCGTCTGCTTTGTCTTGGATGCCATATTCCACACTGGGGGTATCAAACGCTGGGAAACTGTAACAGAATGAAAAAGTACAAATTCTAAGTGAGAATTTATGCCACGTGTGTGACCATTCCTTTTTATTACAGAATCACAGAATCACTAAGGTTGGAAAGGACCTTCAAGATCATCAAGTCCAAACATTAATCCAGCGCCACCATGTCCCCTAGACCATGTCCTGAAGTGCCACATCCACACGTTTTTTGAACACTTCCAGAGATGGCGACTCCACCACCTCCCTGGGCAGCCTGTTCCAATGCCTGACCACTCTCTCAGTGAAGAAATTTTTCCTAATATCCAATCTAAACCTCCCCTGGTGCAACTTGAGGCCATTTCCTCTTGTCCTATCGCTGGTTACTTAGGAGAAGAGACCAGCGCCTTAGTCGCCACAACCCCCTTTCAGGTAGTTGT